AATTATGACCTTTGCCTGTTTGCAAACCATTCACAAACTCAGTAATCTCATTGAGTCTTCATATACAAATTAGCTTCCGCCAATTATGTGAATGCCCAATTAGAAAGTTGCTTTTATAATTTCCTAGAGATAAACTAAAAGAGGTTCAAGGAGTATGTATGTCATAAAAAGGTTCAGCAATGTAACCCAAGTGGATGCTACAGATTGGCAAGAGGAGAAAACTCTTATTCTGCCATATTGGGAAATAATTAAGCAAAACAAAAAGACTCAACCCATTTAAATCCATCAACTTCCTAACAAGCCATTTCTTATTTGATAGTCATATTGACTTTCTTGATCATTCAGGGCATTCTGTGATAATTACAAATAACACTTCAAAATCAGAACATCATTTACCTGAAAAGACATTGCAGGTAGATCCGGTAGTCAGGATGGATACCTTCTTCATGGTAGCGGAGAAGAGGATTCCGAAGCAGTGCAAAAACCAGACGAGGCAAATGTTGTAGCTGTGGACATTGTGTGAATGCATTATCAATCTGACCATTCATCAAACCACCTCCGTTCTTGTACTGGGTAAGTTTAAAAGCCTCATTGTATTGAGCTGTGAGGATAACTAGCCAATCATGAAGCAACATCCTTCCCTCTCTAACCCCTTGCTCCAAGGAAGCCAATATAACCTACATATAAGCAATATTTATAATCCACTATCATGAGGAGGTTCAGTGGTGAAAAACAAGCCAAATATTGCCAACACACACACACACAGACCTTGTGAACAAGTAGTGATAATACTGCTTCTGGATCAACACTGTCATAAAGTTCACTAATATTTTGTGCAGTTCCAAACTGCATAGTTCGAATCCTCAGACGCCTTTTAAGAGAATGCTTGCCTCTGCATAGATCAGATCAAGCTAAGCCCAAAATAGGAAATTGAGCTACTGAAGTAGCCAGAAAATTCTTGCAATAGATCAAAAGGTTAAAAATTGAAAATCAGAAAAATTTACAGGCTTAAACAGGTGAAAAAAGGGAAAACAATTATAAGAAAAGAGGTAACTGCTTTAGGCATTAAACAGTTGGAAGAAGAAAGATTACAAACTACTTTATGACAATCCCTATATAAAGAATTGAGGGAGAAATAGTATTACACTACTAAATGTAATACTCAATATAAGTCTATAACTAATCAGACTCTCAAGGAAGAAGCCTTATCAACCAGAGATGCTTAATCATTAGAGAAGATTATGCAATCAGTTTTTCTCTGAACTTTTGAAACAAGAAATTGGGAAATTAGTTCATTATCTCAAGTGTAAGTAACAAGGTTTTGAACTTTACTATCAACAATCCTAAGAATAATTTAGCAATTTTAGATGTGTACCACAGAAAAACTCATACCTACTTGTAGAACCTGAACTAGAGAGTTCCTCAGGAGGCACGACAACTGTGTACTGGAATGCAATCTGCACCACAGGTTGTTCTGCAGCATGTCTGGAAGAAAACCAAAATCCAATAGCATCTGATCAGCCAAAAAACTGAAAATTGCTCTAATTTTACACTTTGCAGCTCCCTTAAATTCATAAAAGAAGATTATGTAACATTGTAAATAACAAAAGCTGCCAATGATTGCCATAAAGGGTTCCTTATAGTCATAACTGATATTTAACAATCAAAATGAGCACAGAAAACAAATTTTGATGCAACCACATTGTGAAGCAAAGATAACAGTGATGAGCAATACCTGGAAAATCCAGTGGTATTAGCAAAATCAAAGTCATATGCATATGTAGCAAAAGAATCACAACATATAATGTGTTGAACGTTTTCATATTGTGGATCTGCAAAGAAATGTCCATACTGCAAAGAGAAGGGCAAGAAATATTCATTAATATCTCCAATGTAATTATTACAAGTTCAAAAAGCACAGAATAATTACTTACAGAATGGCCAGGCTGGAATTCAGAAGATGTCCTCAGTCGGAGAACACAATTAAAAGCATATGGTCGACTTAGCATACGGTACCTAAAAATGAAAATTGATACAATTACTGAAATAGAATATACACCATTCACTTCATAAAGTATCAAAATCAAAATAACATCATGTCAATTTAAATGAAGAATAAAACTAGACTCTGCCTATAAATTCAAAGATTCTGATACCGCCTGTCACTACATATGTCAATAGAATACTATTTTAGAGTTGTAAAAGCTCCAGTATGAACACTGTGGCATTACTCACATGTCCTGAGGAAGTGTTGAGTCATCAGTGTTTGAATACAAAAACAGTGAGCCTCCACTTTCTATGCTGAGAAATTTTAGAGATGCCAGATCTGTATACTCATTTGTGACAGCAAATATGTCCACAGATACACCTGCTTGAACAGCCACAGTTGCCTGTAAAATATTATGAGAATGCTAAATTTCTCTAACCATGCAGAAAAAGCTAATAAAATTACAGGTCAAGAAAAACTTACCAGATCTTTGTAGAATGGTGTCTGTTCAGGAAGTAAAGCTCGGTCTGCATCCTCTCCCTTACTAGCATATTGCTCACCATACCGTCTAGTATCTAGTTGCCCAGCTCCATAATCAGGAGGACCAGATAGAAAGGCAAAGACTCTAGCTGCAATAACATTTGAGGGAGACAAAAGTATATATCATCTCTTTAGAAAGCATATGAGAAAAAGTTTGACGTAAAAGAATCTTTGAAACTCAGATTATGAGAATCATAAAAGCTACTTTATCACATACCCAATGCAAATGTACTTCCATATTCTGATCCAAGGTAGTTGAAAAGGGCTTCCATTGCCACACCAAAACCTCTCCCACCCATCAAAACTCCATCTAAGCCTTGACCAGCTCCTGGGGTTCTTTCCCATGAAGTCGTTGGTCTAAGTGTTTCAAGTGCAGATGTGATGCGTTCCTTGCAAGTTTCAACCTGTAATAGAGCCACTAATTTATAGCACTGCCCATGTCAAATTACACAAAATACATTCTGATCGCTAAAAAAGGTACAAAAGCGAGATGACTGAATGATACAGAAAAATTACTCAGCAAGGTTTATCTCACATATAAAAGGGTGCAAAGATAAATCATCTACTGCCACTTAGCTATATTAGGGAAGATGGCTGAAAAAAAAAGGCTGAAGGGATAAAATCAATATACATACAGGGGCCAGGAATTGTAACAAAGGCATGACATCTTCAAGCTCAACTGGCAGGGAGCCCTCGGGATCTGGTGGGATGAAAACATTCTTCACTACAGGTATTGGACCTTGAACATCATATAACCCTATTTTGTGGCTGAAAGTAGCAAGACCAAACAGTGAACCGGGTGCGAGAGCTGCGACAATAACAATTACAGGAAATTAACAACCTTCCAGGGACAACTCATCCATGCAGAAGCAAATTTATGCATCTTTTTTATCAGTGATTTACAACCTTCCAACGTAGCTTGCAATGCACTTTTAATGAGCTCCAAAAATTCTTCAGAAGCTGAAAATAATAAGAATTAGTGATCTCCTATAAAATCTAAAGAATCAAAACAAGCAATGTAATTCCAGTAATGTGAAGTACGTTTCAAATCTTACATGCCAAATCAACAGCTGCAACATATACCGGACGAGCTTGCATAATTTGCTCCTCTGATCCCTCCACTGCAAACAGTCAGATATGACTACATAAAGATTATGCTCAAACTAAGTAGTTTCACAACAAATTAAATTTCCCACCGTTTCTCCTGCAATTCCCCGAATTTTCTCCACAGTGAAACGATTGACGAAGCAAACATGCTAACCAGGAGAAATGCAAAAGAAAGAGCAAAGATGCCAGGGAATATCACTCACTTGGCAACTCGAGATCGATAAAGGAGGAGCTCATCTCGGCGCAAGACTGAGGATGGGAGTATCTGGTGATGGCCTCGGAGGACAGACCGTTTAGTGTCCCACAGAGCGAGCAGTTCCAGGCCCAATGGTCTAGTTCGCAGTAAGTATTGAAGTAGGCGTAGCAGTTCTCGCATCGTGGCAGAAGATGCGCGTCCGATCCATAGAGCGGAGGTTGACCGTTCTCGTCCTTGGACGCGAACGGCGTAACGGTGACTCCCCAGGGCATGCCGCAGGCGTCCTGGGCGTCAGGGTCGATAGGGAACCGCGCCATCGTAGCTCGGACAGCCATGGCTTTTCCCTTCGGATTTTAGTTTCAAGGGAAACGGAAACTGAGATCCGCCGATCCGGGGCGGGGATGACGTTGGTTAGGAAGAGTCGGAGAAAGTTCGATGGCGGAAGGGGTGCAGGCGTATGTTAGCAGAATATGTCGTACACGTGGAAGTAGCCATTGGCTGTTTGACACGTATAAGTTTAATGGCGGACGTAGGATTCCATCTGTGGTTCCATTTTTTTTTTTAAACGAAATAATAGATGAATTATTATTCCATTTTAAATAGGTAATATTATATTTTTAAATATAATTATATTTTTATATTACATATTTTTTTAAAATTTTTTATTTTTTATTTTTTTATAAATTAAAAAATATAATAATCAATTAAAAATCTAATAATCAATTAAAATAAAAAACAAAATATTAATAATTAAAAATGTAACAATTACATCATCTAACATTAATCCTATATGGTTTTATGTAAATAAATAAGAAGATTTCAAATTTGCAAATTGTGCTTGGAGCAATTTTTTTTTTTTTTTTGGGTATTGCTTGGAGCAAGTTTAACGAAATTTGAGGTTGAGACTAAAGGGGTGTTTGTCAAGAATATATAAAAGTTGGGTATTATATGGATAACTTTTTTATATAATTTTTACACGTTATTAAATAAATAGATGTATTTAATATTACGAGTTTCACATAAATTAAAAAAATTAATCATCATATTAAATTAAACAAAGAAATTATACAAAAATCATTTCCCTATATAAAATTTTAATCAAATGAGTGAAATATTTTAAATTATAAATAATAATAATTATTAATAAGTTAGTAAATGTTATATTAAAAAAAATAATTCAAACAACCTATAATGCTTTAAATAAATAAATACTTGAATGAACCCACTGTTTTGCCTTTCAAATTATATCAAATTACAACAAAACAAAATCTCTCGTATTGAGAGAAAACCTTCCACGTTAAGTCTGCCTTTTATCCAAAAATTCATAATTTATAATCTCATAATTTCGATTGCAAAACAATTTTTTGTAGTTGAATTATAGACAACATTAGCTGTCAAATTTCGACTCTTAGATGCATTTGAATCCCTAATCCAACTGCTCCCTTCCCTTTAATTTTAGGTAGAGTACAATTAAGAAAGTAACTCAAAAGTCAAAACACTCCAGAACATCTGATTCATGGTAAATGTAAAAATGAAACTAGATAAATTTTCATACTTGGTGGAGACACCACAGTATTATAGAAAAAACTTCTAATTAACTTAGACATAAATGGAGGATAGAGGGAAAAATGATTCCAAGTAGAATAATCATGAAGTGTGCAGGCATTACCATCTAACATGGAACAATAACAACAATCTATGTATCCATAACGCTAGGCAAAAATTCTTCACCCATCTAGGTGTTGGTTGCTCTGGTATAGATCTCTTGGCTAGCATGGGCAGATATCATCCTGATGGAACCCCTTGCCATCAAATCCTTAATTGCCCGGCGTGCCAATGATCCATTAATCTGTTGAAGAAGAAAAAGAGTATGAGAACAAAATTACCATCAATAATTTACAAACAAGTTTAAACTAGAACTAGTTATTCATACGGTCTATTCAACTGTATTTGTTCCATTCATGACCAGCGCATGCATCTTTTCTTTGGAATTCAATCTAATATTGTGACTTACAGGTTAAAACCAATTTCTTACAATTGAATAGACTTAATGAATGACTAGTTCCAATGTACCATACAAACAAACAGAAGCATATGATTCACTTAATAGGCAAGATGAAGCATGCAAATAACGAGTGGTTAAAAAATCAATAGCATAAACATATCTCCAGTTGATTTGTGAGAATAGAATGCAATGACAAGCACTCAATCAGTTACACGAAACAACCATGTTCCGTATATATCTTATGGGAAAGGGTTCTTAAAAGCAAACATAAAACATAGAGGTTTTCTGAACAATTTAAAATCATTGGTTAGTCACAAGTGTAAAGAACTAGTAATAAGATAATCCTTGTAGCATGATTCACTAACTCATTATTAGACACATCGGTCTTCCACCACGAATACCAGATTATTCACAATTTGTTAGTCATGCATCATCATTGGTAAGAAAGTAAAAGCAAACTTGAATTACTGCATGATGTTGCAGCAGAAATTACAAAACAGATTGTCAATTAAAGTCTACTGACTACTTAAGTTCATCACCTCATAACTCACTGGTACTAATCAGATAATCAATTAATCGACGGTGAACATTTCAAATGTCAGACCAAAGAGTCCCATTTTATGGGTCCTAATTCTAATAACTAAATTGAAATGATATATAGAGAAAAAAAAAAAATCATACCCTCAATCTGTCAGACAGAATTGAAGGTGTAACAAGCTTGTACTTTGGAACTTCAGAAAGAAGCTTATCGTAAGTTGCCTGGTCAAACAAAACCATGTTGTTCACCTTCTCCTTTTGCTTGCCCTTGCTCCATTTCTGCAATAAAACTCGACGCACTTCGTGATTAATCCAACAAAAACCTTCATCCAGTTAACAAAGAAACATAGACTACAAATTTCACAAGCCAAAAGTCGAAGATCTTTAGAGAAGATTTACGAAGCGAGGAAAAAAAAAAAAAAATCCTACCTTCTTCTTCTGCTTCCCTCCACCAGATTTAGCAGGCTTTGACGACGGAGGAGGAGCCTTGTCCTTCTTCGGAGCCTGCACAAGGAAGAACACAAAACTTGCAATTACAAATGGTTATGATTCGAAGCACAAGAAGAAGATTGAGGAAGCTTACCATGAGGGATTGATGGAATTGCAGAGACCTTGGTGGAAAATCAGCCGCCGAGCAATTCAGAGATGGGGGATTTGTATGTGGGTAGGGAAGTAGGGTTTTTGAACGCGAGTTTTGGGTTTTGGACTTCGAAGTAGTAGTGTTTTGGGCTGGGCTACTAGCTGGGGAGCATTCAGAGGCAATATTAAAGGAATGGGCTGGATTTATGAAAACCCAATTCCGTTCAGTTCTTCAAGTCCGCCTATTGGGCCCAAAAAAATTTCGTTTCCTTTCATGATTTATTTAGGTCATGTTTGGGAATATTTAATTTTTTAATTTTTTTTAAACGTTATATTATGAATTATATAATAAGAATAATTAGGTCCTTCTTAAATCCATCTCCACTCATATGAGAAAACAATTATAAATGTAACCTTAATAAAACATGATTTGCTTATATTAATGCTACTTCATTTGTGGGGGTTTTTTTTTTTTTTTGGGTAAATTACTTCTTTTTGTGTTTGAGCTATTGAATTTATAGCTCAATTAATGAAATGCATGTTTTTCATCCTTCCCCTATGAAGGAAAAAAAAATTAATGAGTTTATTCTCACTTGCTGTTGTTATTAAAATGTTTCCATTATGGATTGATAAATTCACAAATGAACCCCCTGAAAGGTGAATTATAGGAGTGGATGTAGTTTTAGAGCAAGGAAATAATATCTCTTATTTTTCAAGTGGGGAAAGTATAAAGTAATAAAACCTGATGAGATTCTTCACCTTTCAGTACTCACTGCATGAGACACAAACAGACGGACAAAAACACAAGAAGAAAAATGGGTGAAAAGCAATGGGTTGTGGGGTTTTCTTGCTCACCAAACACCTTTCACTATTTCCATCCCACGCCCTGTCTTTTACCTCTTCTTCATTTCTACTGTTCCCTTGGGATCCCAGCTAAAATATCAAGCAAAGAAAATGAACCTCGTAAAAGGATCCCTGGTCCTTTTCTGTCTTTGAATTTGGTGGTGATATTGTAGGACCATATCCCTTAGTCCATAGCCCACC